ATGATTTTATATATTAAATCTATATAGGGTCACTACTTGTTTGATATTACAGTTTTGGTTGACGTAATCTTTACCGAGTAAACATATAGTCATCGCAATTTGCATCAGGAGTCGTTTTCCAATATGGTCTAATTAATACCATTTATTTCATAATTTTAACTAAATGATGATAGCGTTTATGATCTCATTTATTAATCTCATACAGGAGCACTATAATTTTGCTTGACATAATCTTTCAGATAATTAAATGTTAGATAATCAATACTATTAATATTAATAATTAATAATTAGATAATATCTACTCAATCGTTTTAAAGGAAACTTCCTTGCTTCATGATGGGATTTAGGTGTACTATGTTGAATGAATTATAATTAAATCTACTCCTGAGTATTATTAAATGCAATATTATTGTTCTATGAAAATAAAAAATTTACTTTGCTTCAAAATCTATATTATCTATCGATATTTCTTAATACGTAAGTAAAGGAAATCATTTAAGATGTCATTATATATGTATCAATATAAAATGCCAAAACTTATCCCTGCTCGTTAACGTTAATGTTTAAACATGCGTTAATTAGAAGTTTTCCTTTAAGCGAACAAACTGAGCTATACCATGAGAAGTAAAGAGAGACCGTGTTTCGCGAGTTCGCTACTTGAACTTGTTGAAACTTTGATACGCTTTAAGACGATGCTATCCATTTTGCATTTCTAACATGCGTTAAAGTCTTTTACTTGCGTATACGTTGCATGGGGCATGATAATCTTTCCGCGTAAAAGCATTTCTAGAAATGGAAGGACCATTCAACTGTAATTTTAATACTTAAGTTTCAAATGCTCCCATTGAAGATGTTTCATGTAATAGTTATAATGAACCACTTTTTGAACGCGAGAATATGATTTATGATATTGTAGTTTACATGCTTAACTAGTAGTTTAATGTAATGTAGTATGTAATGCAACCAGACATCCCACTTTAGCAGTATTGCTCTAACTAGTTCGTAAAGTGGAAACTAAACATTTTGCACAGATATCGTTATTACCGTGAATGATGTGTACTACCACGTATAAAAATGGGTAAATATAGTAAGAACAAACTAAAAGCTTGAGATAATGTAGTTTTTGATGAGATTTTAACTACTTGCATTGTAAATATTGTAGCTACAGTATAATTTCATGAAGTGCATGCATCTGCATATATTTCGTACGAGTTTTAAGTATCTTAATGTGCTTTATTCATCGTTAGCTAATTACGTGGATTAACTTATAAAAATCCTCGGAAATTATACGTTTGAAATAAATGAAACGTTTACAATCTTAAAAGAAGAAGTTTCCGTCTACGTGAATGCATAAGCCAAACCAAATCTTTTTTTACACATACTATTTAAAGCAAGAGTCGAGCTTAAATTCACGGATATCTTCTAAATAAGATTTAGGATGTTTACGTGCAAGAGCATCGTATATACATGTATACCGCAATGTACATTTTTGGCCCGCGAGATAAATAAAATTACCATAACTCGAGCAGATGGCCCTTCATGTATTTTTGGGCAATTCTGGTCGAAGGTGCTTAAATGTCGATGCACATGGCCTCCCCTACATAGCTAAGAGAAAAAACATCGCTTCGTGCACGGGGCTTGATAGCACTCTATCATTCAAGACGCCAACAGGTACCGCTCAAGTTGCTTTATCTTTCTTCCACAAAAAACACATACCATGCATAAAGATACTTTTAGACTTGCGATTTTCACATTGTCTTAAATACTGCAGATTAGAATCAGAAAAGCAGAATAGATTATCAAAACTGTTTACTATACATCTATAGTATGCTAAAACAGATATAATGCGGATAAGATCGATAGATTGTTGGTTCTGAGAGATGGTTGATTAAACGAATGATTTGATACAGGTGGAAAGATCCATTTTATCTTATCATGTGGGTTTCTCACCCCTTCGAAATCATGAGCCGAGCCAAACTTTCTACCCACCCGTTCGTTTATCGCGCAGACGCAACCGACTGCCCGACATGATGTGATCCGCATGTATATTACACTCGAAATCTCGTTTTCCCTCGGTCACATACGGGAGAAAAGCGTTAAGCGATCAAAATGCAATTTGCGGTAAACACGGGTTCGGATACAGGGAAATGAATACCGTGCAACGTAGATCACGTTTTCCAATACTCATTTGGCCCGTGTTTTCCTCTTACTCGAGAATTACTTCGAAAGTCCATATTTTACTGAAACTGAGGCAACATTATACCACGTATTGCGACAGGGTCGAATTTTTACTTCAACTGTGGTGACTCACATTTATATTCCGAGATCTTTTAAACACGATAACTTCCAAAGTGTCGAACTAAACGATTTCATTTTCCTTTCATGCTAGAAGGCTCAGTTTATTATGTAATGTACAAAAAGATTTGTCAAAAATTGCTATTGGTTGAAATCACGAAGAAGATAACGGAGGTTACGATCTTTAACTTTCTGCAACCTTATTTATACTAACGCTGTCTATACACTGGGAAATTTCAGTTCCTGCATTTCTTTTAGATTC